CACCCGCTTTCGACTGTTATAAAAATAGTTACAGAACGTATCTCCTGGCGAATCTGTAAGGTCGGTATTATTCCTCATAATGCAACGGGGCAGTCGGGTAGCCTTGTGGTTAAAGCGTTCGCTCATCATGCTGAAGACCCGGGTTCGATTCCCGACATGGGTACAATGTGTGAAGCCCATTTCTGGTGTTCCCTGGAATATTGCTAAAAGCAGCATAAAACCATACTCACTCATAATGCAATGGGTTATTCTCCCATACCCTATTGTTTGTTAACAGGAACAGTCGACGACCACTACGATTTCTTTCCAATGTCAGCGCTTTCGTCTATTGTGTCGGACACAACTGTAGTGAAACAGTGTATGGAAGCCAGTTTAGGAGACACACCTATCTAAAACAGGTCGCACCCCACTAGGGTTAATGAGGGTAAGAAATGTGACAGATCGGTACTACTACTACTAAAATTGTGCGGTGTTACTCTCCGATAAGCTATTATTTGTTAACAGACGACAAACACTACAACTTCTTACCAGCCGTGGGGTCTTGACGCAACTGTTCTCTCCATGAGAATGGTCTTATTATAAAGATGAAGTCATCTTAATTGTACAAGACCACACCAAAATCGTGCAAAAGTCTAACAAAAGAATGAAGGACCATTCTAAAAGTTTGGCTGACCCTTCCAAAAGTATAACGAACGTACTAAAAGTGTGACAGACCGTTCTAAAAGCATGAGAGATCGTGCCAAAAGTATGCCATTGGTCATGTGTCTTTACAACGCATTTTACCATTACAAAAGATGGTAGAATGTATAACCCAGCCAAAAGTATGACAGACCGTTCCAAAAGTGTGACAGACTTTTCTAAAAGTATGACAGACTTTTCTAAAAGTATGACGTACCGTTCCAAAAGTATGGAGGACCGTTTTAAAAGCATGATAGCTCGCTATAGATGAACAAACCTTGTCATAGTGCATTAAAGTATGAACGAACAGTACCGTAAATGTGCGGATGCAGGATGCTCGGCTTCGCTACATTCGTGCTCGAGACAGTAGACGAATGCGTTGACGTACGAAAGAATTCCGTCAGAACCCAGAACGAGCGCCGTGGACGATATGTGTTCAAAATTTTCAAAGGAGCAGCTCTTCTACAATATGTACATCTATTCGGACATTATAGACGATCGGTTAGTCGGTCACACTCTGTCACCGCTGTTCACTCTAATACTTGTCAAAAGGACATATTGAACGATGTAGTACACGTGAGAGATAAGAATGCTTTAACATTTGACGAGATATGTTGTTGTTGTTGCATTAAGTGTTTAAGAGATCGCCTTCTGCCAAAGCAATTTTGGCTGACCTGTCCCTATTTGGGACTCCTGTGCGTGAGTAGGGTACACATATCTATTGTGAGTTTGGTATTCACATAATTTCTGTTTTTGTATTGATATGATTTCTATTTTCTTATATTGATATGATTTCATTTTTATCTTGGCTGCTCTGTTTATATACGTTCGAGTAGCTGTCCATCTCTCAGAAATAGAGTTAGTTTGGCCTTCACTATTGCATCTCTTGGATTTAGGAGATCTATGACAGATGCAATTCTTGTTTTAACCTAGCCCGGCCAGGGGCATGGCCTTGATATTTCAGTAACACGTGAGCAATGGTTTCAGCCTGCTTGCAAGATGAACAAACCTTGTCATAGAGCTTTTTGTGACCGAGTCTGAGGCGTGAGATGGCAATTTAAATTTTCCTTTCATTTGAGTATGAGTTTGGCTTTTGTTGGACCTTAATTGGGTTGAATTTTGTATAGCCATCTGCCGATCTTACTTGCGTCCAATTGGGATTGCCATCTTTCTGCTATAGGGGCTTTGATTTTGTTTTTTATCTCTAGTTTACTAGAGGGATTAGGCTGTATATCCACTTTGTCTAGAGCTAGCTTCACCAGTGAGTCTGCTTTTTCACTTCCGTGAATATCTATGTGAGAGGGGATACAACACAGCGCCACCTGTTGTGGATATGGATCCCGTAACCAGCACTGTTGTTGATAGGATTCTTGGACCCATCAGTGTATATATGGGGCCAGCTGTCCCAGGTAGTTTGAACTTTAATGATAGCTACTCATCGTAGTAGGGTTGGCCTTTCGTTTTTAGTGACTTCTGATGTTAAAGCAGTGTCAACTTTGAGAGTTTTTAAAGTCCAGGGAGGGTGTAACCCATTGCGAGATACGTTCTCTAACTATTCTTATAACAGTTTATAGTGGGTGGCTCGTGTCATTCACTAGTGGTCAGTCGGTGGTGATAATTCATTTTGAAAGGAAAGGGTAGAAGCATACTACTCATAGAATGTACGAGGGTCGTAGGGGTCGCGATTTGAATTTCACGCTTTCTCGACAAAATATGTTTTTTTAAAAATATTCCTATAATACAGTGCGAGTACAACGACTAGTGTCGATAACTTGTGGTCATCATTGCCTCCATTTCAGTAGCTGCCGTTCCATGGTTTTGATGTGGTATGACAATAGCGTGAAACGCTTACTGGAAAAATTCTAAAATGCGTGTAAGAGTCTGTATATCGGTAGAGACCAAGATTTTACCGATTCGATGAACCCCACACCCGCGTTTAATGCTTCGCGTATAAAATCTCACACTCTAATTTTAGGGTTTATTGGCAGCTTGTTTGTTGTACTTTTATTTTTAAATGCGGCCAAGTAGGCCTGTTTTGATTTAGATATATGCCTAGTGCTTTAAAGGTTTGTAAGTCATGTAGGGGGTTTAGTACTGTTGCTAGTGTCATTTGATTGTTGCAATTTAGTGTGGATTGGAGTGTTGTTCTGTGTTGCTGGTAATGTGTGCAATATAGTATTACGTGTTCAGGCGTTTCTTTTAAGTTGCAGTGGAGGCATTTATCGTTTTGGTGTTTTTTTTAATTTGGTGTAGGTGGGAGTTTAACTTAGTGTGGCCTGTTTGTAGTTGAGTTATAACTGTCAATCTTTTTGGTTTTATGATGGATTTTTGTTTTTTAGAGTGGCTTTTATAGCAGGTGTTTTAGTTTGCAATCAGATTTCTGATAGTTATTTTGCCACTTTTGGAAGATTTTCTCCTTTGTGATATTTTTAATTTACTTCTTCTAATTTTAGTGCTGATTTGGCTGCTTTGTCTGCGTGTTCGTTGGCAAACGCTCCAACGTGGGCAGGGATCCAAACTATTTCTATGTCTTTACCTAGTTTACGTAGATTGTTGGCGCTTTTAATTATCTGTTGTATTAGTTTTGTAAGCTTTTTTGTGTTTTTGTTTTTTATGGCCTTGGGCCACTTAATGAGTCATAAAAAATAGTTTTTTTTGTGTCTATTTATTTGATCGCTGTGCAGAGCTGTTACTATCACCATTAATTCGGCTGTGAAAATTGATTGATTATTTGGGATCCTATAGGATTGTGTTTCTTTTTGGGGTTTGTTGATATGGATGCCAAATCCTGTGCGTTTTGAGCCTGGGTCAAAGGACCCGTCTGTGTAAATGTGACACCAATTTGGCCATTTTTCGTGAATGTATGCTAGTGCGGTGGATTTAGCTGTATTTGGATCAGTTTCTTTATTTAGTCTGGTGGAGAGAGATATGTCGATTTGGGGGTTTGGAGTTTGGGTGTGAAGATGTTATTTGGTGCTGTTTTTATTTTGGTAATTTATTAACCGTTGAAAGATTGGTGTTTATTGAGGGTTTTTGCGAGCTAGAGCTTGGAGTTTGGGGCTTATCTTACTTTGAAGGATCTGTTGGATTTGTTGGTTTTGTTGGGTTGAGGCCCAGTAATTTATTGTTAGATGTTCTGGGCGTAGATCCAGGGGTATTTCGCCTGTTAGTGCCTGTAGCGATATGCGCGGCGTGTCATGCTGAGTGCATGTGGTTATCTTGAGTGCTTGATATTGAATTGAGTTTAGGACTATTATTACGCGCAATCACACACCTATTTAACATTAAATCTCGCCTTTTGCTATCATCCTTTCCCCGCTCACCGATGCGGGGAAGTTAGGCCCGCCCCTCTAAGAACACGCCCTCGCTGAAAGGTGGTCTGTGAAAACCATTCTACGCCTGAGAGTCGCATATTTTAGAGTCCTACCCAATATAGATACCTGTAAGTCGCAGATGGTTGGAGAAAGGAATAAACTGGGACAACTAAGCAACTTGTTCAGAAGGGTACACATCTGGCCAGGAAAGGATTTTATTATACCGGACATTCGGACAAGGTTGTGTGTGCTTGGTGCGGTCTGAGATTGTGGAAGTGGAGTGCTGAAGATGACATTAACTTTGAACACAACAGGTTTGCGCCCTCGTGCTTTCCTGAAAATTACCTGTCCTGGTAGTTTCGACTATGATGTTGACACGAGGGCGGGAAGAATTTACACAACTGTGTGATAAATAGTACCCCAGGGTTTCTTGTGGTTGATATAGTGTTGCGTGCTCTTAGTATAGAGACTGTATTAATGTTCAATAATGCATTGTTTATTCACGATGTATACGTAAGAGGACGACTTGTCAATAAATATTTTGAAATGTGATATGTAATGTTTTGAAAGTGTTCCCGTTGTTTACCTCGTGGGGTATGTTGGGGTGGTTCAGCCATTATTTGTAGAATATCGCCTTCGTGCAGTCGAGTACTGTAGAGAGCTTTACCTAAGCAGCACGACGCGATGTTTTTTTTATAGATATTGTTTGGTAGAATACCACTGCCTTACAGTCTTGTATTGTAGAGAGCTTTACATAGACGGGACATTTGATTCTTTTTTTGCTTGAGTGTCTAAATACATTTGTCTTACGGTCTTGTATTGTAGAGAGCTTTACATTGACAGTACGACATTTACAGACCTCCTTCAAAACATTTTATTCACCGCTTGCCTGCTGGGTATTTATGATACGAGGTAAACAACGCGACTCAACACACCCTAAAACTACTCTTACTGCTTTACCGTTTTCTACGTCCCATGATATACTTTTTTCATTCTGGTAGAATACCGCTATCTTACTTCCTTGTATCGTAGAGAGCTTTCCACGGTCAGGACGGCATGCGGGTGTGAGGTGAGATGGGGAGGGTCTGTGGTGAGATTGGATGGACTGTGGTGAGGTGGGATTGACTGTGGTGAGATAGGAGGGACTGTGGTGAGATGGGAGGGCTGTGGTGAGATGGGAGGGACTGTGATGAGATGGAGAGGGTCTGAGGTGAGATGGGAAGGGTTGTGGTGAGATGGGAGGGTCTGTGGTGAGATGGGAAGGGTAGTGGTGAGGTGGGAGGGACTGTGGTGAGATGGGAAGGGTTGTGGTGAAATGGTGAGGGACTGTGGTGAGATGGGAGGGTCTATGGTTAGCTGGGGGAGGGGTTGTGGTGAGATGTGAGGGACTGTGGTGAGATGGGAGGAACAGTGGTGAGGTGGGATGGACTGTATTGAGGTGGGGTGGAGTGTGGTGAGATGTGAGGGACTGTGGTGAGATGTGAGGGACTGTGGTGAGATGGAGAGGGGCTGTGGTGAGGCTGAAGGGTTTGTTGTGAGAAGGAGAGGGATTGTGGTGAGATGGGAGGGACTGTGGTGATAATGGGAGGGCTGTGGTGAGGCTGAAGGGTTTGTTGTGAGAAGGAGAAGGGTTGTAGTAAGATGGGAAGGGTTGTGGTGAGATGGGAAGTGTCTGTGGTGAGATGGGGAGGGTCTGTGGTGAGATTGGATGGACTGTGGTGAGGTGGGATTGACTGTGGTGAGATAGGAGGGACTGTGGTGAGATGGGAGGGCTGTGGTGAGATGGGAGGGACTGTGATGAGATGGAGAGGGTCTGAGGTGAGATGGGAAGGGTTATGGTGAGATGGGAGGGTCTGTGGTGAGATGGGAAGGGTAGTGGTGAGGTGGGAGGGACTGTGGTGAGATGGGAAGGGTTGTGGTGAAATGGTGAGGGACTGTGGTGAGATGGGAGGGTCTATGGTTAGCTGGGGGAGGGGTTGTGGTGAGATGTGAGGGACTGTGGTGAGATGGGAGGAACAGTGGTGAGGTGGGATGGACTGTATTGAGGTGGGGTGGAGTGTGGTGAGATGTGAGGGACTGTGGTGAGATGTGAGGGACTGTGGTGAGATGGAGAGGGGCTGTGGTGAGGCTGAAGGGTTTGTTGTGAGAAGGAGAGGGATTGTGGTGAGATGGGAGGGACTGTGGTGATAATGGGAGGGCTGTGGTGAGGCTGAAGGGTTTGTTGTGAGAAGGAGAAGGGTTGTAGTAAGATGGGAAGGGTTGTGGTGAGATGGGAAGTGTCTGTGGTGAGATGGGGAGGGTCTGTGGTGAGATGTGAGGGACTGTGGTGAGATGGGAGGAACAGTGGTGAGGTGGGATGGACTGTATTGAGGTGGGGTGGAGTGTGGTGAGATGTGAGGGACTGTGGTAAGATGTGAGGGACTGTGGTGTGATGGAGAGGGGCTGTGGTGAGGCTGAAGGGTTTGTTGTGAGAAGGAGAGGGATTGTGGTGAGATGGGAGGGACTGTGGTGAGATGGGAGGGCTGTGGTGAGGCTGAAGGGTTTGTTGTGAGAAGGAGAAGGGTTGTAGTAAGATGGGAAGGGTTGTGGTGAGATGGGAAGGGTCTGTGGTGAGATGGGGAGGGTCTGTAGTGAGATGGGAAGGGTAATGGTGAGATGGGGAGGGATTGTGGTGAGATGGGAAGGGTTGTGGTGAGATGAGGAGGGACTGTGGTGAGATGGGAAGGTCAATGGTTAGATGGGGAGGGATTGTGGTGAGATGGGAGGGATTGTGGTGAGATGGGGAGGGGTTGTGGTGATATGGGAGGGACTGTGGTGAGATGGGAAGGGACTGAGCTGAGATGGGAGGATCTGTGGTGAGATGGGGAGGGACTGTGGTGAGATGGGGGGGTTTGTGGTGAGATGGAAAGGTCTGTGGTGAGATGGGGAGGGTCTGTGGTGAGATGGGGAGGGTTTGTGGTGTTATGGGAAGTGTTTGTGGTGAGATGGGGAGGGTTAGTGGTGAGATGGGGAGGGTTTGTGGTGAGATTGGGAGGTGGGATGGGGAGATGCTGTTGTAAGATAGGGAGGGGCTGTAGTGACAGGGGGCCCAGGTGCAATGGGTCTTTGTCCAGAATGGGGAGGTGCTCGAGTGAGATGGGGAGGGGATGTTGTGAAATGGGTTGGGTTTGTGGTGCTAAGAGGAGAGAGGGTTGGGTGCAATGGGAGAGGGACTCGGTGCAATGGGAGGGGAGGGGCTGTGGTGAGATGGTTGGAGCTTAGGTGCAATAGGGGAGGGCTCAAGGGAGATTGAGGAGGGGCAATTGGGGAGGAGCACGATTTAGGGGTTACACACTTTAAACGATCTGCACCTTTTTAATGTATCTTGATTCATCTTTAATCTTCTTGTGCATTAATTGATTTTCATTTAAGCTTGAGTGCAAGAGATTATGGTAGGCATTGTTTTAAAGCGTGTTAATTTCGGCGATGATTTCCTTCCCGACCATAGTGACATCATGGGTTACATGACGTCACAATCACATGACACCACTTCTCTCGGCCACTAAAGCTGGTTAGTTCGACACTGGTTGTTACTGTTTACAAACTGTACAAAGCTATATGATGGTGGTCTGTAAATAATCGAGTCTGGACCAGACAATCCAGTGATTGACTTTGAGCATCGATCCTCGCAATTGGGATACGATGACATGCCTCAACCAAGTCAGCGAGCCTGACCACCCGATCCCGTTAATCGCATCTTACGACAAGCATAGTCACCTTTTACGGCAAGCATGGGTTGCCGAAGACCTATTCTACCCCGGATCTTCACGTGTCGTTTACAAACTGAAAAAGGTGGAAGTGCCATTTTTTATGATAGAAAGAGAGAGGTGGTGAGGTGAAATTGGGTTTAACGTCGCGTCCAAGATTATGGCACTTATATAGCGACGTGTATGCACGTGTGTGTGTGTGAGAGCGAGAGAGAGAGAGTGAGAGAGAGAGAGAGAGAGAGAGAGAGAGAGAGTTAGAGTTGTTTATTTAAGTCTCACTTTCTTTACAAATATATCATGCAGATTACATTCTGAGAGAGAGAGCTTTATTTCAGTAAAGGGGCCACTGGCCAATTATACAACACATGATATCAGACAATTTCAGCGCCAATGAGAAAGTTATTACGCTTTTTAAAAGCAAGAAATATAATTTTAGCTAAAGCATTAATTGTGCATGGGGTTTTAGATGTACAGAGTGTTACAAATTTATCAAAAGTTACATTTGTGTAAAAATAATAAGGTAGAACCTTACGTCTCAAACTGTCATAGTAAGGACATTGTAAACAAAAATGATATTCAGATTCCACTTCAGGTCTTACACAAAATGGACATAGTCTCTTAGCTCTAGGTAAATTGTACTTCCTTCCATTTTCAATTAGCAAAGTATGACCAGAACATCTAAATTTACTCAAAGCAGTACGAAAGGCACTTACTGGAATACAATCTAGATAATTTTTAAATACATTATATTGCTTAATACAAGAATAAAAAGAAAGTTTTTAGTAAGTTCTTAAACTGCTAGACCATTGTTGGTTATCTATATCAATACATCTTGTTTTAAAGTTATCAATAAAACCAATATGCTTTACTCCTTGACTATTACAAACATGATCAAAACCATATGAATAAAGAAGTTGCTTTACTTTTAGTGCCCAGCAATTTTATTCCGTTTTCTGACAGATTGTATTGATATGAATAAGCATGGCTAAAATGTGAACATTCTCGCTGTGGATATTACGAGAAATTGTTTTTCATGCAATGGACCAGGCCAAGCGCATGAGAAGAAGTAGATCAGCTACAGCTCAGGAAAAGTTCTTATGATATTCATCCAGAGCTTTGAAGCACGTGTTAGCCTCCCGGTCACGGATGTCACTTTTGTCCTTCAAAGTTTCCACGAACGTGTCCTGATTTCCCCCAGCAACAAGATATTCACCATACACCTTCGACGCCTGTAATGAATAAAACAATTGACACATCGTTGTGAGCAATATGTAACAATTAAAACGTGCAATGCAGTGTCCCAAGGTATTCATTTGACTAAATAAACAAGACAAACATGCACTCAGAAATAATCACCACAATGAGTTTCGGATATTTTTTAGAAAATTAGACCTGTCTATACTAAGGAGGTCTACAACGTGTCCAGTTGTTTAACCTGTATGATGAAGACCTGCCTATATGCATAAGGTGAAGACCTGTCTAGATGTATAAGGTGTATGATGAATTTAAGATCTGTCTAGATGTATAAGGTGTATGACGAAGACCTGTCTAGATGTATAAGGTGTATGACGAAGACCTGTCTAGATGTATAAGGTGTATGATGAAGACCTGTCTAGATGTATAAGGTGTATGACGAAGACCTGTTCAGATGTATAAGGTGTATGACGAAGAATGAAAAGATGTATAAGGTGTATGATGAAGACCTGTCTCGATGTATAAGGTGTATGATGAAGACCTGTCTAGATGTATAAGGTGTATGACGAAGACCTGTCTAGAAGTATAAGGTGTATGACGAAGACCTGTCCAGATATATAAGGTGTATGACGAAGACCTGTCCAGATGTATAAGGTTATGATGAATTTAAGACTTGTCTAGATGTATAAGGTGTATGATGAAGACCTGTCTAGATGTATAAGGTGTATGATGAAGACCTGTCCAGATGTATAAGGTGTATGATGAAGACCTGTCTAGATGTATAAGGTGTATGATGAAGACCTGTCCAGATGTATAAGGTGTATGATGAAGACCTGTCTAGATGTATAAGGTGTATGATGAAAACCTGTCCAGATGAATAAGGTGTATGATGAATTTAAGACTTGTCAAGATGTATAAGGTGTATGATGAAGACCTGTCTAGATGTATAAGGTGTATGATGAAGACCTGTCTAGATGTATAAGGTGTATGACGAAGACCTGTCTAGATGTATAAGGTGTATGACGAAGACCTGTCTAGATGTATAAGGTGTATGACGAAGACCTGTCCAGATCTATAAGGTGTATGATGAAGACCTGTCCAGATGTATAAGGTGTATGATAAAGACCTGTCTAGATGTATAAGGTGTATGATGAAGACCTGTCCAGGTGTATAAGGTGTATGATAAAGACCTGTCTAGATGTATAAGGTGTATGACGAAGACCTGTCTAGATGTATAAGGTGTATGATGAAGACCTGTCCAGATGTATAAGGTGTGTGATGAAGACCTGTCTAGATGTATAAGGTGTATGATGAAGACCTGTCTAGATGTATAAGGTGTATGATGAAAACCTGTCTCGATGTATAAGGTGTATGATGAAGACCTGTCTAGATGTATAAGGTGTATGATGAAGACCTGTCTAGATGTATAAGGTGTATGATGAAAACCTGTCTAGATGTATAAGGTGTATGATGAAAACCTGTCTAGATGTATAAGGTGTATGATGAAGACCTGTCTAGATGTATAAGGTGTGTGATGAAGACCTGTCCAGATGTATAAGGTGTATGAAAAAGACCTGTCTAGATGTATAAGGTGTATGACGAAGACCTGTCCAGATGTATAAGGTGTATGATGAAGACCTGTCTAGATGTATAAGGTGTATGATGAAGACCTGTCCAGATGTATAAGGTGTATGATAAAGACCTGTCTAGATGTATAAGGTGTATGACGAAAAGACCTGTCTAGATGTATAAGGTGTATGATGAAGACCTGTCCAGATGTATAAGGTATGTGATGAAGACCTGTCTCGATGTATAAGGTGTATGATGAAGACCTGTCTAGATGTATAAGGTGTATGATGAAGACCTGTCTAGATGTATAAGGTGTATGATGAAAACCTGTCTAGATGTATAAGGTGTATGATGAAAACCTGTCTAGATGTCTAAGGTGTATGATGAAGACCTGTCTCGATGTATAAGGTGTATGATGAAGACCTGTCTAGATGTATAAGGTGTATGATGAAGACCTGTCTAGATGTATAAGGTGTATGATGAAGACCTGTCCAGATGTATAAGGTGTATGACGATTGACGAAGACCTGTCCAGATGTATAAGGTTGATGACGAAGACCTGTCTAGATGTATAAGGTGTATGATGAAGACCTGTCTAGATGTATAAGGTGTGTGATGAAGACCTGTCCAGATGTATAAGGTGTATGAAAAAGACCTGTCTAGATGTATAAGGTGTATGACGAAGACCTGTCCAGATGTATAAGGTGTATGATGAAGACCTGTCTAGATGTATAAGGTGTATGATGAAGACCTGTCCAGATGTATAAGGTGTATGATAAAGACCTGTCTAGATGTATAAGGTGTATGACGAAAAGACCTGTCTAGATGTATAAGGTGTATGATGAAGACCTGTCCAGATGTATAAGGTGTGTGATGAAGACCTGTCTAGATGTATAAGGTGTATGATGAAGACCTGTCTAGATGTATAAGGTGTATGATGAAAACCTGTCTCGATGTATAAGGTGTATGATGAAGACCTGTCTCGATGTATAAGGTGTATGATGAAGACCTGTCTAGATGTATAAGGTGTATGATGAAAACCTGTCTAGATGTATAAGGTGTATGATGAAAACCTGTCTAGATGTATAAGGTGTATGATGAAGACCTGTCTCGATGTATAAGGTGTATGATGAAGACCTGTCTAGATGTATAAGGTGTATGATGAAGACCTGTCTAGATGTATAAGGTGTATGATGAAGACCTGTCCAGATGTATAAGGTGTATGACGATTGACGAAGACCTGTCCAGATGTATAAGGTTGATGACGAAGACCTGTCTAGATGTATAAGGTGTATGATGAAGACCTGTCCAGATGTATAAGGTGTATGAGTGAGTGAGTGAGTTAAAATTTAACGTCGCATCGGCATTATTTCAGCCATATAGTGACGAGACCAAGCTAATATATACACAATTTAGTTATTTATGCAATGTCATATTTAAAAACAATTGATGACAATTAATGGACAGAGCCTTTAATAATGTCAGTTGCTAATAGTATCACACCAAATTTAAAAACAAGCATTTAATTATTCACATACATATTTAAAATTTATTATACAGACCAATTTCTTTCAAGTAATTTATGATGAGATGCCCGTTGACACGGGAAAAGAGATCTTTTAGATTTACACTTTGATAATGTGAATCCCTTGCGATTGCTTGACGGTGAACCTTTCATCGCAAGGGATACACTTAGAAGGTTCGTCCTCATCTGTCTTCAGCAGATATTCGTGTGTAAACCGACTGTGGCCAATACGACACCGTCGTAAAACGACCTCGTCATGTCTTGACTGACAACCCAAGTAGTTATGACCGATTGTTGGTTTCAATTCGTGTAGTTTATTGCTTCCTACTTGGGTGTCCCACCTCTTTTGCATGAGATCCCGAGTATAAGATTTGATGGTTGGTTTGAAATCACTGTACGGAATAAAGAGTGGAGACAACGGTTTTTCAAGAGCTGCTTTAGCTGCAGTATCGGCTTTTGAGTTACCTGTTATGCCTACATGACTTGGTAACCAGCAAAAGACGATGTCACATTGGCCAGTAGAAAGATCATTATAGAGTTCTAAAATGTCAAGGATTATAGGATGATTTGAGGAGATACTTTTAAGTGCCTGAAGGCATGATAATGAATCGGAGAAAATGATGAAATTTTTGGATTGGTTTTGATGTTTGATATAGGTCAAAGCTGTAAAGATAGCTTTGGCCTCAGCAGTAAAAATTGAACTAGTATCTGGTATTCTTGAGGAGACAGTTCTGGATCCAATGACGGTGGCACTTGCAACTTTGCCACCATCCTTGGACCCGTCTGTAAAAATGGACCTGTGAGAATTATATTTGGAGCGTAATTGGTTATATGATTGTTGATATACCAAAGGATTGGTATCCGACTTTTTTAGATTGGTTAGAGTGAGGTCTACTTCTGGCTTCACCATCTGCCAGGGAGGAGAAGACAGAAGACGGTGAGGTGAAATAATATTTAAATCCAATTTAGCTGTAGTGATGTATGTTTGAATTCTGATTCCAAGTGGTGGAACCAGGTTTGAGAGATTTTGAAACAGGTTTTCATATTGAGGGTGGAACACACAATTGTATGCTGGATTAGATTTATTTGAGTGCAATTTAGTGATATATTGCAGTGAAAGTTTAATGCGGCGCAGTTCGAGTGAAGGTTCATCGGCCTCCACATACAAACTGTCCACAGGAGAGGTCCTAAAAGCTCCAAGACAGAGTGTTAGGCCTTGATGGTGTACAGTGTCCAATTTTTCTAAATTGCTTTTGCAAGGTGTATGAAGAAGACCTGTCTAGATGTATAAGGTGTATGATGAAGACCTGTCTAGATGTATAAGGTGTATGATGAAGACCTGTTTAGATGTATAAGGTGTATGACGAAGACCTGTCTCGATGTATAAGGTGTATGACGAAGAGCTGTCTAGATGTATAAGGTGTATGATGAATTTAACACTTGTCTAGATGTATGAGGTGACGATCTGTCTAGATGTATACTCAACAAAAGTTCCTGCGACACAAATATTTTAGTGTATTTTTCAAAAAGTAAAGTTTGGTTTTCAATATTGTAGTACATGTATTGAATCAAGTCACAAAAACGCAACTGCTACAGAAAAGCGTGCATTCCATGCAAAAGTTGACTTTTATGCAAGCCCCATGTATTACACTACCCATGAATGGGTATAAAAACATGCGCGTTAACGGGATTCCACATGCATTATTTACCATGGTGCTGAGAACAACCACTCAGAAAAACAACAAAACTACGCAATTATTCAACATTACAAAATGCCACGACTGTCCGAAAATGAGCGTCTGCGAGCCATTTGTATGCTTGAAGCAGGATCGTGTCAACCTGATGTTGCAAGACAATTTAACGTCCACAGAAACACCATTTGGTGTAAATGGCAACGTTGGCAACAGACAAATGCAGAGACCATCCACGGAGTGGCAGGCCA